AAGTGAACATAGATAGCATCATCTATGTGAGAGCAATTTGTGAGCTCAAGACCAGCAGTGGGTGGATAGTCAAGGCTGGGAGGTAGAGAGGTCTGGCGTTCCACCCTAAAGAAGCATAAAAGACTGAAGGGGAGGGTCTTGGTTTCGGGGGAATTTGAGTTTGGGAAATCCAAGTATTTAAAGGGCTTTGGGAATGATTTAAGGGAGGGGAGAGAGAAGCCCTCCCATTTTCTACCCTAGGGTAAAAGCAGGAAAACCAATACGTTTAGTGCCTGTAACTCTCTAGGCCTCTGAATTTCCATCATTATCAAAAAAACAAAAACAAAAACAACAAAAAACGGGTAGTTGTTCCCCTGCTGTGCACGGATCCTTCAGGGCTGCCGGCCTGCAAGCCATCAGGGATAGGGTACTGGTTTCAGCGCCGAGATCGCATTCTTTAAAAATCTGCTGGTAGAGGGAGCGATGAAAACTGACCTCTGAGTTGGGCAAGATCAGCGCTGCAAGCTGCTCAGATGGGGCCTTGGCAAGCCTGCCGGGGAAGGCCTGTGTGAGCTGCAGTTCCCCAAGTTAAGCTCAGTTCCGCCTGAAGTTCTCCAGCAGCCTGTTCTGGGCCTGGGAGATTTTTCTGGAGTCTCAGAAGCCACAGCAGCAGTGCCCCAGGAGCCCTTGCTGCCTCCAAAGAGAAGTTTATCATACTACCTAGGAAGGACACTAATAATGGCAAGCACAGCAGCCAAGGCTTCCTCTTCAAGTGTCCTTTAAGTGTCCTGAAGAGAGCCTTCTTCGGGGAAGCAAAGGGCAGTGTGGGTACTAGATTTTCCGAGAAAACTAGGACAGTGAAAACCCCGGACCGCAAGGGGGTCTCTCTGCAGCCTCCTTGACCCACTCACACCCAGCTCAGCATCCAGACTATCTGGGAGGTGCAGGAAAGTGATTTACAGCAATGTATTTGGTGACAGTAGAGAATGTGGCATTTCCCGTATTTGTGTATTTGTCCATTGGTTCCAGGGTAGGTCGTGCCCACCCTGAACACAGTCACTACCCGGCTACGGTCCCTGATCCTGGACCTCGACGCCAGGGAAAAAGCCTCCCCCCATCTCTGGGGCAACCATGCACTGCAAACAGCGCTGCCAGGAGGGGCGGGGGCGGGGGATAAAGTGGCACAACAGGAAAGCCAGAAGGCCCTTCCCAGTCAGTTTCCTCGCCATAAAAAGCCAGACTCCAGTCGAGGTCCTGACCCCTTCCAAATATACATTCCCTCGCCCATGGCCCGCCACTGCAGTCCGACCTCGGGCTGCTCTGCTTCCTCCCCGTCAGCCTGGGCCCAGTGGCTCCCTTGGAGCAGTGAGGTTGGTGGAGCCTTGGTTTTCAGTTGACTTCCCAAGCGTCCCAGCTTTGTGCCTTCGACCCAGGGCTGTGATTCTCCCCAGTATCCAGGCCAAAGCATATTTTACAGCCAGGGCTCTTTTCTTTGAAGGACATTGCTTCCTCTCTACCTCTCCTCTGCTGGGTTTAGGGTATGAAGTTGGAGGGTGGATGGTGGGTGAGGTTGGATAGGTGCATCCCCAGGAATCTTTGGTTGATCCAGGATTGCAACAACTTCCCCCTCCCACCTGCCCCAAGGTCACAGCTAGGAAGCCAGGAGACTCAGAACCTCAGTGAGATGAGGTGACCAGTAGAGGACAAGCCTTTGGCATCAGCAGGTTACCGTTTTTCACCAGCAAGCAGATGGGTGCACTCCAGCTGTGTACACTCTAGCAGGTACCCAGGAATTCAGAGGCCAGAGGAGCAGCCAAGACTCTGAATTGGCTGGCAGCATATGGCCCCTTGATGCTGGAAGATGGGCAGGGACTGGGAATTAGGCCACAGGGCAAGGGGTCGGGCTAGGAGAGATGAGATTGTTTGCTAGGGGCATACCCTTTGGTAGAGGACAGAAAGGACTTGAGTGAGGGTGGATGGGGTGGGACCTTGGAAAGTCCCTGGGTCTTTGGGAGAGAGTTGACTCTGAATACATTTGGAGGGAGGAACCTGTAGGGTGGGGTGGTGAGGGAAGGGCACAGTATCACCCCCTAAGAACAGCCAAAGGTTTCAGGCCTAGTGGCCATAGCCTGGCACACTCCCTGAATGCTTATTCCTTGTAGCCCAGATGAGCATATGGGAGACCTAGGGGAGGGTGGAACCTCAAGGCTTAGTGCTCTCAGAAGACACTTTGGTCCATGGGAAGGCAGGGCTGAGCTTCTAGAACTGCAGTGTGTCTCAGATGCTATTGTTACTTGTGGAAGTGTTTAGTGCTCTCCCTGAGGTACTTTTGGAGAGGTACGGACGTCATATGACATGTTGATCTCTTGTAAGACAAGCACATAGGAACACACAATCTTTGTGTAAAAGCTGGGTGGACGTTCTCTCCACCCATGCTGCCTGCTGGGTAGTTAAGGGTGAAGCAAAGATGCCCGGAGATATGAAAAAGTAAAGTTGGACTAATTAGAGCACAACTAAATAGACAGCCGTTCTAATCCCCAAATAGGAAGAAGGTGCCTGAACGCTTTTTTTCTCTTTTGTGGTAGAACCGAAGTTGTTTTTGAATGATCCATTTAAGGTCTTTTATGTATGTAGTGATGTTATGTATAAATTCGCAGTCTATCTAACTAGATGAGTCTTCCACACTGAGGTATGTCCCCAGTACCCAGGGCAGTCATTGTAAGATGGAAGGCGACAGTGCTGCTTGAACAACATTCCTGTGAAGACCTTGTCTTGACTGACAGGCTTCTGCTGGGTTCGGAGGCTGGCTTTGGTGAAGGCCATGTAAGGCAATGAAAAGAAGCCCAAAGCAACTCTGCTGGATGTGCCCTCACCTCACACACCTTCTGTTCATTTAGGGCCCCTTCTGGTTCCTCTCCCAGGGGAGCACAGCTTTCCCAACTTTCCCTTCAGATTGACAGTCCCAACTATGCCTGCTCCCTATGCAGTTGCAGAAGCTGGCAGGGCCAGGATTAAAGACAAAGGGCACCATACATACATAGGCGGGTCTGAAGGATACTAAGCCAGTATACTAAGCCCTAGTGCCCAAGCACTTGCCCTTTCTCTGAGAAACAAACGTGGACTTGCCTCAGGAATATCTGAGAGTACTAATAACTCTCAGTTTTTATGGCAGTTTCAAGCTTGGAGAGGTGTTATAGTATCTAAAATACCCAATGCTTGCAGAGTGAGGTGAGCGGAGGGGAGAAGTGTGGACATACAAAAATCCCTGAAAATAAGGTAAGATAGAAGAAACCTTTTAATTAGGTATTGAAGATGGCCACATGAAATTCTTTCAGCTAATAAAGTTAAATTCTGGAGTGCAATTGCTGTTTTCCTTTTAAACACACACACAATCAAGAATCCAAAGGAGTCCCCAACAGTGATTGAGAGGCCGCCACTAGTGACAAGGTTGCCATTAAAAAGACTTCTGTCAGAAATCCATGCTTGTGCCCACTTAGCTTCTCTGGAGTCATACAGAACCCCTGCCCAGGGCTTCTCCTGGTCTGCCCCAAGGAGCTCATTATGGCTTTGGGCTAGAAAGCCACCAAACATTGAATTAAACACCACAGTAGGCCTGCAGCCTTTGGGATAGCTTTTCCTGGACATTGAATGAGGGACTTACATGGTCAGAGAAAGGCTTGTGCATCAAAGTCAAGTCCAGGGTGCATGTGATTAGCTATGAGACTTGACAGTATGTGTGATGGGACAGTAGACGTCTGAGTATGTTTGCATGTGTTTGCCTGTGATAGTGTGTGAGATGGCATATTTGTGAGTGAGTTTGTATGTGTGAGTGGATGTGTATTTTAGATTGTACGTGACAGTGCATGCCTATGTGTGAGGGCACATGTATGTATGCCCCCCAGTCTTCCCAGTCCTACAAGCCCCCCTCCCAGAGACCATCTGCTTCTAATTAGCAGCATCCCATGTGGGAATAGAAACAGCAGGCTCTTCTTGGGGTGGCTTCTGAGAACCGGGTGGGCCAGCCTGGCTGCCCTCATTCTGCTGCATGGGGGCTGAGGCTCACAATGTAGAGAGCTTCACAAAGAGCCCTCTCTGCACCAGCCCCGGAGCCCTAGTCCTCCCTCAGATCATAAACCTGCCTGTGAAGACATTCGGAAATCGTTCACCCTCAGTCTCATGCATGTGCAAAGATTGGAATGCCATTCGCTCAAGTTTTATTTTATTTTGTTTGGAAGGGGGGTGAGGGGGAGAAGAGTCCTGACCTAATTTGTTCTAGGCCAAAATGCTATTTCATGCAAGAGTGTATACCTGCAAACAAATCCTTGCTTGCCCTCTGGAGGTATTCATCTGTAGCAGCGCAATGCACAGCGGCCCAGGGATGCAGGCCTGTGGTCACAATTCTAGTACTTAAATGATAAACTCAGCGAAGCTGGATCCTGGGTTTTAAGTCTTTTTATCATAACTTCTAATTCATGTTGATGCAGTTGAAGTATCAGCATAATATCCGCTATGTATTAGGCAGTGGATTGAATTAATGAGTCAAAACTCAGTTTAAAAAGCGATCTAGTGCCAATGGGAAGAGGTTGGGAATAAATATTGTTGGAAAGACCATAGAAGAGGATTAAGTTAGGGGGAAGCCTAGGTCTGGGCTTAGGTCTGGGTAGCCCTGGGGCTTTCACATGTATGCTCCAACAATATTTACTTACCACCAAGTCCCTTCTTTTAACCTTTGTTTCATGAGCCTTTCTCTCTGAGTGGGTGAGAGCTCAGTGGTTCTAGTTAAAATCAGCAGAAACCAGAAGAGCCATGCATGCTTCAATTCAGCAGGGGATAGGCATGTCCAAGGCAGACACTGAACCAGGTGCTCTGCCTAGGGCAGCTCAGGCTCTGGTCTTCTCAGCAGGCCCATTCCTAAAGGAACCCAGACTATTTCATCCCCAGCTGTGGATTTTGTTATTGTTCAGGGCCATAAACTGCCTGCATTATAACCTGGAGAAAACGCACACAAGTGACTCTGTTAGTGCTGGTTCATAGAAAGATCATTTAATAAGAAAAGAGAAAAACAATCTCAAGACTCCAAAATTTAAGTTGTCTACTGACATAATTTCAAGTAAAATGAGCATGTGATTTAAATTTCTTGATTTCCCAAAATCATTCAGAGGAGCCTTCGACAAAAGCAAAGTGGCCTTAGCTCTGGAGTGTCCTGTCCTGGTGCCTACAAACCTGTGGCCCAGCTCTTAGCTTTGGGGACAACACAGGAGGTCGAGGGTCTATGGTCAATGGTCGCAGGAGTGGCTGGCTCTGCACTATAGTCCATGCCTCGCGAATTTTTGCAGAGGTGCTCAGGCGTTGGGGTTGGTCCTCATGAGCTCCACGTCGGCCTGTACCATCTCTCTCACCAGCTCCTGCACCAAGATCCAGGGGATTGGGGGGCGGTGAGGGTGGAGTTTCTGACACCCTCTCCCGCAATACCTCCTCCCAGGGCCCTGAAAGGTCTCCAGCTTGAACATAGCAAGGTCTCAAAACCAACAGCCATGAGAACTTGCACTGGAGATATAACTTACGTCAAAGGCAACGCGGGGCTTCCAGTTCAACTTCTGCTGCGCCTTGGAGCAGTCTCCCTGCAAGAAGTCCTAAGGAGAGAGAGAAGAAGAGGTGTTCTTGCGGGTGCTCTGGCATGTGCACCCCTTTCCCAATCTGTCACAGCAGGTATGGTACAGTCAGTCTGGTTTAAGCTAGGACTTTGCCATCCCCAACTCCGGCTGGGCTCAATCCCCTAGCTCTACTTCGTCTAGTGATGCTGATAGTTTTTTTTTTTTTTTTTTGATATTAAGTTGTTAGGAGAGCTACTGGGAAAACTGTTTCGAATTACTGCACTTCTCCAGAAGGGCTTGAATGTCCAAGACTCGAAGTTCAATTCAGAATGGCCATTCCAGGTCCTCGACTCACAGGACTCCAACCCCATCGGTGGGGCCTGGTCCCTAGAACCCACCCACTCTCCTCCAGATCCAGCCTTAGGTCTACTGACTTTGCCCTGTCCCTGGCACTTGAGTCTCCGTCCTGGATTCGGAATCTTCGGAAACCCCGCCTCCCCTTCAGTCTCCAGCTTTTGGGACTGGCAGCAGGCAGTTGCAGGCGGCCAGGCATGCAGGCCAGCTAGGGAGCTCCGACCTTGCAGTTGCTCAGCTCTGGCTTTGCTGAGGTGAACACAGTTCTTTGCCAGCTAGCAGCTCACCCGAAAGCTCCTAAACTGAAAGTTCCATTTCCCGGCTACAGTAGAGGGTCTGTTATAATCTACTCTTCTCTTTCTTCCTTAGAAATCCGGGCTTTCTTTCTCGACTCTGGGGACAAACCTCAGTTTCAGACCCTGTGCATCTGAGACCATGCATCTCTGGTCAGCCCAGGCTCCTTCTCTAGTTCTTTGTCACCTCCATCTGCTCCTTCAAGGTTGACTTTCAGAGGAGACGACTGACCACTGTTTCAGTCCAGGGCTGAGCCTTACCAACATATAAAGCTGAGGTCAAGCCTCCTGGTCTCCTTGCACAGTTCTGACTTTATGGGGAGGGAAACACATAAGTACTCGAGCTTCCTGGATAATCTAGCAAGAGAAGTTCACTTTCGTTTAATAGCCTCCCTTGGAAGGAAGAAGACTGGCAACAAACGAGAATGGGTAAAGACCAAAATCCTGTGCTTTTCCTCACTCAGTTCTTTATTGTAGGTCTCAAGACTAAATGGGGATTTCAAGACCAGTTTAAACGGAAGAAAGGGAGGAAAGGAGCGGGGAAAGAGCCAGAAAAAGTCAGTTAGGTATATTCACATGAGTGCATCAATGGTGCATACGCAGCAATGCAAAATAAACAGGGGCCAGGAAGGCAGGAGGTACGAAAGGGGATCTTTATGATGATAAGTACTCCATCAAGATGCTCTATTTTAGCTGTCCACTATTGGACAGCAAGTGAAGCAGCTGCTCTGAGTGATAGCCACAGATAACCAAGCTGCAGTAAAAGGCCTCTCTTGAACTTGGCAGGCAAAGCCACTTTCTTCTGGGTTTCAGATGGGTAGGCCAAGAGTGTTAGGTGCTCACCTGTATTCCATTTCCCTGCCTGAGTCCTTCCTCTGGCAGAGGACACTCAGGGACTCACATTCTCAATCATCCATCATTGCTTCTTAGGCTTGAATACATCAAATTCCCAAAGGTTTTGCATTGCACAATATGCTGAAGTACCCACTTCCTCCCCAGAGTGTTAACCAAAGTGAAGCAAGTTATTTCTGCTGGCCTAAAAGCCCATTTCCAGACTCCCTGGGAAAGGTAGGATGCAAGAATTAGTAATTAGCATTTTTAGCACAGCACTACCTGGAGCTGCCAATGCAAGTGGAAAAACAAACCAAGTAATTTATTTCTCTTTACTCTCCCTAAATAAACTTGTATATACTTTTACAATGCTTCCCTTTTAGTGTAAAAGCCGCACAAAGATATTCCTTCTTTTTCCCCAGAGCAAGCTGTGTAACTTGGGGTCATGAAGCACTGTTCGCCTGCCCCTCTCTCAGTCCTACAGCAGCTTCAGGAGAACATGGTTACTACTGAATCACATTCCACCGGCTGTAAATCAACCAGCACAGCATGGATGCAATTCATGGCTGTGAACATACAGTTTTAAAAAAAGCCCTAAAATTCAGTTTGGTTTCAAATGATCTCAGTAGGCTTGGGAAAGGGAGCTTTGTATTGTGATTATGTTTCCTGTATTTTTCTACAAGTAGCTCATAATATAAAAACAACCAGGCATCTACAATTAAGGAAACAGAAAAATGGTTTTCAAAAGCTTAGCAACAGACACTACTAAATACACTGTAAAAGTATTTCATTGAAACCAGAGACAGGCCCGCTGAACTTCCCAATTTAGTTCTGAGCCCTCTCTTAGGCTATGGCCTCAGAGCTTCCTTAGCCTTCTGCCAAAGCTCGGTCTCCCTGAAAGCTAATTAGATCAAGAGGCCTTGGGAAGGGAGAGTATGTGGTCCTATTAGAACAAAACAGTCACTCAAAAAGTTTCTGTCCCATCAACTCTTCTGTTAGGCAAATGCTTTACCACTGAGCTCTCCCTTGTCCCACCACCCCAGCGTGCATTGTACTTCACTGTCCTAAGGGAAACATCTTAAGGGTGGTGGCACATGTCTTTAATCTCAGCAATCAAGAGGCAGAGGCAGGCAGATCTCTGAGTTCAAGAGCAGCCTGGTCTACAGAGTGAGTTCCAGGCCAGCTAGGGCTACACAGAGAAACCCTGTCTCACAAAGAAAAAAAAAAAATCTTATTTTCTACCATGGGTTATAGCCAATGGTTTGTTCCATTTGCAAAATCCTGGCTCAGGCACCCTTCAGGGGTGGCATGACAAGGCCTGCCTGCGTGTGAAGGCGCAGTGCTGTACAGGAGGGCAGACAGGAAATGCTCCTTTAAACATCGTTTCCTCTGACCCACAGAGAAGTCAGGGTTGGGAGCTGGACTCCTACAGGGAAGGGAGGAGTTGCTGTGCTCACACAGGGATGTGGGGAGAAAGGCCTTGGTATGCATGCCTTTTATATTTAAGTCTTTTAAGACACCTGAACTTCCACAAAAACCCTCCAACAGGCCCAACCAGCTCCTAAGGACAAATGAAAAGAATGAGTTTGTGTATATTGTCCTACATTTTGAATTATTTGGTTTTCATAGGTTTACAGCCAGCATATGACAACAGAGGCAAAACTGTAATTAAAGTGATTTTTATGTTGCATTTCCATAGAATGTCTGAATTTCTAGAAAGAACTTCATAAAATGGGTGGTCTGGAGTTTTTCTGGAAAAAACAAAACAAAACAAAACAAAACAAAAAAAAAAAAAAAAAAAAAAAAAAAAAAAAAAAACCAAAACAGGCAACAAAACTCTAAGAAAAATTTAAAGCATTTTAATGTGAATATGACATTTCCTAAATCTGGCTTCTGGTACCTTGCCATTTTCACTGCTATTCCTTAGGTGAACTATACAGTTTCAATATGTAATTTATTATTGTCAAATTCAATTAGGCTTAACTAAGCATTTTACAGCACCTAAACAGCACGAGGAACAGGGAAACCTGTGGACAAGCTCTCTCTCACAGACCCCAGCTTGTTTACCCCTCCGAGTGTGTCCTGCAGCTTTCAAGGCAATGGAGATGCAAGCATCAGCCTGAGAAAAGGGCATGGTTTGTTGCAACAAAATCTGGGCTTTCCTGGCTCTCAGTCTTGTTATAGTGGATAGATAAAGTGCCAGACCGAGTCCCGGGGAAGTCATTAGGCCAGTTCCTGAGCCCACAGCAGTTAACGCAATCCAGAAAAGGAGGGTTCACCCTGCCATTATTGTCTCCTCTAATTAGAGGCCACTTCTGTGAAGGTCTCTGGGTTCCCTGTGCATTGCTGTCAAGATAACAAGACACCTTTCAGCCACACAGGTTACTTTTCTTCCCCTAATGTGATTTTGATTGTTCTTATACAAATTAAGTCCCTTCAGTACACTAAACTGGATCATGCAGGGTAACTCCAAGCTCACACCCTCATTTCTTTTTCTTCCCTTTCTCTAAGTTTGATTTGGGGGAAATTATAACATTTAGATTGAATTACAAGTTGGATTGGGTTTCCTCAGTAGGTTTGTGGTAAGGTTGGAAGGAACGTCTGCTAGGGCAGGGACTTTAAGAACATGAGAGCTTCTGGCAGGATGCTGTTAAATTTCTAATGTACATATGGAAAGAGATTGAGTTTTGAGTGCCATAGACAAGAAGGTGCAAAGACAGGGATGTGACTAAGGAGAACCTCGCTCTCGCTCGATGGAAACCTTGGCTAAGCATCTTCAGGGATTTAAGACATGGAGCTGTGAGTGGCACAAAAATACTCATTTTCCCCTCCTGCTTTTCTTAGCAAAGTGAAATTGAAGACTAGCTTAGGTTCCAAGGGAATAGAAGAATGCCAATGAGTTAGGTCCTTGATCTGACTTTATGCTAATGGAGTGAGGAGGCAACTTCCCTCCTAGGATAAAGCTTCTCTTGGGAAACATAGAACTGCTAAAAACAAAACAAAACAACAGAACTTCAGGGAAGTCTTTGAAGTTGCACTACACATCCCAATCAAGATTCTAGACAGGCAGGGAGGGGGGCATGGAGGAAAGGGGAGAAAGAAGCCTGAAGAGTCCCCCCTCCCCCACTGCAATGCTCTTTTCAAGGACCCATGTAGTTTTAGCTCTCATATGCTGGAATTTACCCATGGCTTAATCCTACCCAGGGACAGAGCTAACCTCAGAGCATTTCCCACTCCTCCCCTGGACTGCTTTAGAATAGCAAAGACTGAAGTGGTCACCAGGCCTCTCCTTTAATGACAAGGGTGATAAGAGACAATGAGAGAAGAGCAGGTTGTCTCAGCCTGTTCAGGAAGTGGGCTCAGGGGACTGCCCATCCAGCAGGGCTGACAGAGCACCATTCCAGAGTGTAGCACAGCATGGGACATAAAGCAGAGGGGCAGGCCTGTAAAAGCCGTCCATTTTCTGCACAAAGGACACTGTAGGCCCATCGGCTACGTGCAGTCCCACATGGCCTTAGACTAAAACCACTGCTCAGAGTTCAACACTTCCACTGTGCACTC